TTATACAAAAATACAGTAAATTTTGTTTACTTTGCAGTATACTTTATATATTTCGCCTCGGACTCGCGCTAACCGTGAATGCAGGGTTACTCCCTTATAATGTATCTAATAAAATTTTAAATTTTACCCTTATCCTCCCCTCCCCCCACCTCCTTCAAGTACAAACAATTATTTATTTGTAAAAGATATTATCAATATTAATTCATATTTTTAAAAAATATATATAAAATTTTGATTTTTCATCACTGTTTACTAAACACAAACTCTTTCATCCTTAACTCATATTTTTTTAAAAAATCCGACAAAATATTACGTCTTAATAAAAAAAATTTAAATGTTAGATCTTTTAAAAGGACTCTTCCAGAGGTCTTGATGGCATTCGCGCTATCTTCATACAAGACATTTTAAAACCCAACATTTCGTGTAGAGCCCTCTTACAGAACCTTACCAGGTTACTAAATATAATTCTTAATGGGCCCCTCCCATCACCTATCATTCCTATTCTCTTTGGTGCCCGCCTTATAGCCCTCAAAAAAGGATGGAGGTATTCGCCCAATTACTGTTGGGTCGTTCTTCCGAAGGACCGTCTCTAAGATCATTGCTTCACGAATAAAGGAATCCCTTTCTTCATTCTTGTCGCCACTTCAACTTGGGTTTGGTGTTCCTGGAGGTTCTGAAATTTACGCTCACCTTGCTCGTTTAACTATTGCTAACTGTATACCTGATGACATTGTCCTAAAACTGGATTTCAACAATGCATTTAATACAATAAAACGCCAACACTTCGTTCCTCTATTTTGCAAACAATACCCCGAAAACTCTATTACATCTTTTTTAAAATTCAATAATAATATAATCATATCTCAAGAGGGAATTCAGCAAGGTGACCCCTTAGGCCCAGCCCTCTTTTGCATCGGGATCCACAAGATAATCCAGGAAATTCAAGCTAAATCTAACCTTACCTTAGATTCCTGGTATTTTGATGACGGCATTGTCTCGGGCAACCTCTCCTCAATCATGTCCATTCCCCCAATCATTGAAAATCTCTCTCATATAACAGGACTATCTCTTAACCTCCCTAAATGTGAGATTTGTTTCCTAAATCCACTTCTATCCCTTCAGACATGGCATATCACGTCAGCAACATAAACGAGATGACTCACCTTGGATCACCCATAGGAGGTGAAAAAGCCATCGAAACTTTTTTAAACAAATCCCTTAACAATTTATCCAAATTAAATACATTATTTAATTACCTCCCAGCCCATCAATCTTTTTTTCTAATAAAAAATTATTTCAACATACCTAAAATCCTTTACGTCCTGAGATCCTCTCCTATCTTTAAATGCCGTGACTTGCTCGTTTCACATAAAACCCAAATTAAGTGTCTCCTTTAAAAAATATTAAACCTTAAATTTTCCAATTCATCTTGGCTTCAGGCCACCCTTCCCAGCAAGTCTGGTGGTATTGGTATCCGATCCCCGATACAACTTTCCCTCTCAGCCTTTATCTCATCTCGTCTTGCTGCACATCTATTATCGATAATGGATCCACTCCTTCAGACACTGACCTCTTACAGGCCTTCACCTTCTGGGACAGCAACTGCTCACCCACCCTTTGCCATCCGGCTTCCAGCATTCAGAAAGACTGGGATGCTCCTCTGATCGCCCGTTCCGTTGAATACCTTATTTCGAACAGGCCCTTTGAGGACAATCCCAATAATTTAGTATTATATGTAAGCACAGGTTACAAATGGCTCGAAGCCATCCCCAGTTCCAATCTTGGTCTCCTCTTGACTGGAGAACAGCTACGCATTTCTATAGCCCTCCGCCTTGGCTGTAACGCCGTTCCCTCCATTTGAATCGACTGCGGCCATCCTATCGAATCGAAAGCTTACCATCCGTTGCACTGCAAGTTCTCCCATGGACGACAACCGCGTCATAAATCTATTAACAACATCCTCTTAGCTGCTCTTAAAAAAGTTAATATTCCATCCACCCTTGAACCAGTGGGCCTCTCAAATAAAAACGCCATACGCCCCGATGGCATATTTCTCATTCCCTAGACTAATGATCCCCCCTCCCCCCCCCTAGCTTGGGACTATACCTGTGTCGATTTTGTTGCCAAGTCCAACCTCTCATTTTCTGCCATCCAAAAGGCCGAAATCCTAAAAAAATGCTTGCCTCACTAATAGCGTGTTTATCCTAATCGTTACCAATACCCTAGGCATGTTCGGAAGTGATGCTCTCAATTTCATCAAATAGGAAAAAAATGAGGCAGATCTCAGGGGACCCCAATGAAGGATTTTACCTTCGCCAGCAGATTTTCCTGGAAATCTGCCGGTCCAATTTTTTATGCATTCACTTTTCTCTAGGGTGATTTGTACCCTTTTTTTTAAAAAATTTTAAATTTTTTTAAACTCATTTCTCTTTTATACATACATATTTTTTAATTCATTTTTAATATATTATTAGTTTTTTTATATATATATTTTTAATTATAATTCGTAATTTGTTATTTAAATAAAGTATCTCATCTATTAAAAAAAAATTGAATATTTACTTTTATCTTTATTTATCCCTTTCTTTTATTTAATTCTATAAATTAAAACATTAAATTTGTTTGTTTTTCTATAAAATATCTAAGAGTTATAATATATTATTAATGAATGCTTTCTATTGATTTATTTTTTTAAATTGCCTGATAGGTTAGCAGTTTTATTTAATTAGTACAAAATATAAGAAGATACGGGTAAAACAAAATTAATTATAACATATAAATGAAAGCCATAATATTTATGGCATAATGAGAATAGGATGATGTTAATATAAATGTTTATCATATTCTTTATAGGAAAGGAAAGGAAGGACGGACCGATGAAATGAATAAAAAAATAGAAGTAAAGATAAGGAAAGTAATGTATAATGAAATTTGAAGTTAGATTTTACTGATTAAAATTGAAACTGTTATTTAATTATTGAATGAAGATGTTTTTTATTAAATAAATAATGCAAACCTTCAAAATAATAGTGACCTTATCTTGACAAGGCTTTAGCCCCCTTCAAAATTTTACGGAATTTTTTCAAAAATTCAAATCTTGAAATTAAAATATACAATATATTGGTTTTCAAATATTTTTAGATTTTGACCCATTGAGGTCCGCTTTATCTCAAATAGTTGCCATTATGTCGAACTCTAAAAATATGGCCAATCTCTACAGAGTATCTATAACAGCTCTTTTCAATTAAAACGACCACCTGAAATATATCTTTTAATTGTGTTTACTAAATTATTTGCTATTATAATATTAGTTAAATAATACAAAACTTTACCTTTTCCTAATTTTGTTCATTCTATTGGTCTCTAATGATTCGCGGAAAGCGTTGAAATTCTGCTAACACATTAATTAGCTATTGATTCTTACACAGAAGTGAAATTGATAATAAAGATGGCTGCTGATGACCTAAACATTTCTTAAGCTAGAGTACAGGATACTATTAGAAGAGTAAGTAGCACACTTATACATTGCATAGTTACGAGAAAAATCGAGAAATTAAAAAGCTCAGGTTTTAGTTAAAATATATAAAAGATCTAGAAGTCTCGGGGTCTCAAATAAATGTAATTCGAATCTCCATAAGGTTGTCTCATAATTCACTTGTATTAGAAAGATTCATAAAAAGAGTTATCCATTTTATAAGATTATTTCGTCTATATTAAACATTTTAGATAAGGTCATAAAATTGCATTAAAAAAAAGACTTGATTGTTGGACAATCAAACATTTGTTGGATTTCTGTAAATTGGAATCAACTTCTATTTAACGATTACTGATTTGAGAGAGACAGTAATAATGTATTGAGAAAGAAGAATGAATGAATAAAACTGTTGGTAAATTACGAAGAATACAATAATATATTCAATCGCCATTAGCTAAAAAAATTATAAATAAATGTAATATTTAAAAAAATTTAGGACCGAACTTAAAATATAAAACCCGGGCCGGGCCGAAAATTATTTTTTAAAAAAATCCAGGCCGGGCCTTGCAAATAATACCTCTACAGTCTTTGATATAAATAAAGGGCTTCCCAAAATCTCACTAATTTCAAAAATCACGTATCACGAGAAATTGAAGATGGTTATTTTTTGATGAAGCAGCTGGTAATTTATAGGGTCTTAAAATTTTCAAAGTGCTAAATATTTATTTTATCGCATTACATTTTGAAGAATGATTGTAAAAATTTATTTTTTTAGTGGAATGGGGGGAGTGACTACATAAGCATTTTAAAAAAAATTTAAAAACAAAATTCAACCGTTTAAATGTCTACAAAAAGCTAATGTTAAGTCTTCAATTAAAATTTATAAGGAGGGAAAACTAAGCAAACCCCTCCCCTTAGTTTCTGGCTGCATCTACTTATTGTGGCGATTTGAAGATTTATATATTTTTTAAAGGATTGATTAATATAAAAATATAATACTTATATTTCTACAAATACACAAAATATATTTTTTCTCAATAAGAAGCAAGCACAATACTTTCAAAAATACAAAGAAAAACGCCATTGTTTAAAAATCGATTGATATTATCATCGATGTGATATATCTTTAATTATTATTTTTAGACTTTTTAAAGTTCTAGTTAAATTTAATTTTTACATATACAGAGAAAATAGTGAATATATAGAATATTTTGATAAACCTTTTAAATAGGATTTTGGAAAACGGGGCCAACTTAACTTAAAGGGATTAAGGACTCATCGATTATTTAGAGTAAGAAATATCTTTGTCATAATGAAAATTTTCACATAACTAGGATTGTGTGGTTGATTTAATATGTCGAAAGCGTCAATGGAATGGATGCTTAAATATATCCATTTTTTTTATATCTGACTTTTTTGTCAAATTTAATGGTTTTTAAATGATGATCCTATTAGAATATATATCTTATTATCAAATTTGTATAGTTTTAATTTAATTTTCTTTTTTTCCCCTGTGTTGTTATAGACCGTGAATCTAAATTACAGCGACGTGCAGGACAGGGTAATGTTAACGGGCCGTCATATCGTGCGTGATGTAACTTGCAAAAATTGCGAAGCCAAAGTGGGCTGGATGTACGAGTTTGCTACGGAAGAGAATCAACGGTACAAGGAAGGCAAGGTCATATTAGAGAGAGCCCTCATAACGGAAAGTGAAGGTTTTGAAGAGACGCCCACCCCCGTCACCAGATCTCAAACCCATAATATTAACAATCATAATAATAGTATCTACGTTAATTCTGGGTTCGTCAAAAGACATAACATAATATATTTCTTGATATAATGATTCGAAATTTAAGGGGATTAATTATTAAACTTTTAAATTTAAGTGTTTTATATTGATTAAAAAATTGGGTTTTACCTCATTTCAACACAATTTTTCAACGATAAAACTTTAATTTATTTTATTTTCTAACAGCGACAATAACGAAAATACCGATAGTATTAGGGGTGCTATAGCGACTACAACAGAAAATTCTAGCAATAGCGGAAGTATTCGAAGAAATACTCAAGCTATTGTCGAGCCAATTCCTCCTCCCGTTATAACTACCGTTAGCGGATCTACTAGTACGGGTACCGGAGGTTTTAGCCTTTTTATAATATTTTGTTTTCATTAGATTTAAAAATATATTTTAAGCTTATTAGTATATCTACAACTGTAGAATAAAATCAGAGACCTGCAGGCTCGGGCTGGGCCTTATTTTAATTTTAAATATACCCGGGCCGGGCCCTATATTTTGAAGCTAAATATTTTAAATTGCCATTATTAGCTATAAAGATTAAAAATAATTATAATGTATTTTTTAAAAATCCGGGCCGGGCCGTTCAAATGGTATCTCTGCAGGTCTCTGATTAATATAATTAATCGACAGTATTCAATATATTCACCTACAGATATTTTTTGTAAAAAAATGAACCGGCTAAGAGTTGGATATTTAAAAAAAAACAACTGATCTGATCTAAAAAGATGAGACCGGTACCGGATCCTAGATTCGATATATTTATAGTTGAGAATTATTTATTATTCACATACATTTTAGATTAATATAAAATAGATATAAGTAACAAAAATGCCCATTTTGTTTTTAAATTTAAAATGGAAAAATTTATCTAACAAAAATTTATATTATCAAAACATTCGCTCAAATTAGGCCTGCTATAAATTAAGCGTCGGTGATAATCTATATCCATATACTACCAAACTTTATATATATTCGTCCATTCGCAATTTTATATTTTATGCATGAATTTCGATTAAAATGATGATACACAATTTAAACAATATATATTTTTAAATATAGTATAATATATTTGAGAATTCAAAAATATAATATAAAATCGCTTCATAAATTACTTGAATTTTCATTTATCACTCGTAAATAATCGTTCATTCGAATTTTATTTGGTTACATCCCCATTCGCTTTTATAACGGTTTACTATTGTCATTAAATTATGAGATCCCTGCATGATTCCCGTGTAATAGCATTTCAATTAGATTCATCCCAGTAGTTATGATCCCATAATTTTATCTTCATATCATTTTTTTAAAATAATTAAATTGTTCCTTACATTAAAAAAAAATTCTTATTAAAAAGATACTATTTCCATTCATATTCATTATAAAATACGTAACTGGTAAATGCAGGCAGGCTATATATTGGTGGTCCGGTTTCAGCTCTTTTCCGACCTTCCCCACTTTTGACCACTCTTGGGCGCACTGGTATGCTGATACCTCGTGAGATATTCAATTATTATGGTATTTCTCCCTTTTATGACGATTTCGACGAGTCCACAACCAATAGAAGCGTATCATCTACCAATCTAACGGTCAATATAAGCGATTCTAATCGAATTATTACTGGGTCCGGGTCGAATAATTTTAATATCACAGGTAGAGAAAGGGATATTTCTAGCAATAACAATACATCTTCGAGCAGACGGGGCATCGCAACACCCTTGGTTATTCAGAATCCTAGACGATGTAACCCTATCAACCAACAGAATCGATACATTAGGGTAATAATTCTATATTATATAAGATAGGGTCTAATATCGCAAATTAATTAAAATATTTTAAACTGATGATTCTTATTTTCCTTTTATTAGTTTTCAAAATTGTATTTTTTATTTGTACCTCATTTTACTATATTTTGGTTTGCGTATAATTTTTAATATTTGCCAAATTTTATTATTATATAAATTTTAATATATGTTGCGTTATTCCTGAAACTATTTAATATTAATAAAGTTATTAAAATTTAATTTTTTGATTTTATATTATTTACTCAGGATTTAAATATTCATAAATGGGAAAATATTGATAATATGATATTAAATTCATTTTTATCTCAATGCTAATTTAATAATTGTTTATACTTATTTTATTGGAGAACAGATGTGATGTAAGGATTGCATGTTTCATTAATAATTTTGCCTCAGGTTCCACTAGGGCATATTTCTTTTAAATTATTTTTATTTTATTATTAAATTTGATTTAAACCAAATAAATCTTTTTTTTTTTTTTTTAAAAATCACGATTTTTGCCGACCTAAAGGAATATTTTCAAGTTTCATAATGCCATTTTCGTCACTTTGGATTAGATTCCTTAGCCATTGTCTGGTCATAGATTTTTGTTATATAATTTTTTAAACTGTTTGTATAGTTTGGGGACTGCTCATAGTCTCTTTATCAATATTTTTATAAAAGTCATTGCTATATATATTGCATAAAAATTGGAAATGGAAAGTCTCCAGCTATCGTATCTACCACAACGACCTGCAGTAGTGCCAGAAATCATCTTTCCTCAGCGGGGTCTACTCGGTTTAACACAGCAGATACTACCACGCGACAACTTGTTCAAGTTACTGCGCGTACCTTTAGTCATCCCGTTTCTCTATTTCCTCCCAGTGCCACTTGCAACATGTTTAATCCCAACGACGATAATAACGGTAATAGCAATAATAATAATTTAGCCACTAGAATAACTCTTTCCTTGTTAGCAGATACTTCATCAGGTTCAGGAGCTATTAATAATTCGATTATAGGGAATCTTAACGAGCCTACTACCACCATTCTACAAAACCTTCCCTATCCTCGTATTGATTATCCTAGCCGACTGGCCAATATTAATTATAATCCTAATCATCACCACCGTCACATTTATCTTAGTCATCCTAGGGGACCCCATATTCACGCCTATCATCATAGTTGCCATCCTATTCAACCTCATCACAATATCTCTAATCATCATCACGATACAGTACACGCCCATCACTGCCTTCATTCTCACAATCACCCCTACCGACCAGTTCATTTTCAACGCTCCCATATTATCAATAGCAATACCGAAGAGGAAAATATTGACCCAAACTCTAGCGAGGAAAGAAATTTCGAGGCAAATATAGATTGCGAAAATGACACCGTCAGCAACATTGAAAATATTACCTTTGACATTGACGAAAGAAATGTTATTGACACAGGGACTGATATCGCGAGAAATGATAATAGCCTAGACAACAGCGGAGAGAGTAACATAATGGTAATGGACGATTTGATTGACCTTGGAGGAGACAGTAGTAGTAACAACGAAGATAAATAAAAAAAACTATCCTTAATAATTTGGATTTCGTTTTATATCCATAATTTGAATACAAATTTTAAAAGTATTTTGTTGAAAAATTTGTTAAGATACGATTTGTATCACCATGATGGCTCTTGTAATTTAACGAGACCATAAAATAAACAAAGTCAAGATTATGTTTTATCATTCACTTTGAAATACAATAAACACTATGATTATCTTAACATTATTTTTTTTAAAAAGATATAATAAAATTGCAAATTTTTTTTGAAAGTTTTAAATTAAAATTTGTTAGACAATAGCAGTTTTGGTATATAATAATATAAATAAAACACAGTGAGTGATGGCTTGATATTTAGAAAAAGTCTAATATAAATTTATTATTGAGTAATTATATTATGATTTTTTATACACATATTTAAGTTTTAAAAATAGAAATCTATCGTTTATTATTTATTTATATAATTTATTTAACTACTTTTATCGATGAATTTTTTAACATATCGAATTAATCTAATGTAATACCATAAAGAGTCATATTATCATTTCATTCATTTTGTTGTATAAATTATAAACTATTTCATTATAAATTTATAATATCCTATTTTTGTCATATATTTATTGCTAAAATCTATATAAATCTATATATGCCAATCATAATGTAATCTTTTGATTATTTTCTTTCCATTTTTAAACAATGAAATAATCACCAAATTAAACCTATATCTTGTGTAGTATAATTTATTAAATAATTCTAAATATCTTCACATTTTTTAAACAAAAGCGTTTACAATACTACTATATAAATAAATAAAATAAGTGAGAAAAAAAATAGTCATAAATTTCAATTCTAGTTTTTGATATCCGAAATTTAATATTGCTCAAAAAATTGAAATTAAGTATTTTATTTTGTAAATTAGGAATATATATTTTGTATTATATCCAATTTATAGTTTAAAACTATTATACATGTTAACGCAAATGTGTTTTTTTCCGGATACAATTTTGAATCATTTTTTGAACGAGTTTTTTTAAATATAAAAATTTAATTTTACTGAAAATGTATTATATTATATTTGTAATATATAACCTAATTTTGACATGAACTTTTGAACTTAATATAATTTATATTCGTTTTTCCATAGATTTTTTATATAAATTATAAATTACTCAAAGTTTAACTGTAAAATAAGTTACAATTCTTAAGATAGGTATTCTAAATGTGCTAAAATACATTTCCGGTATTGTCCGATTTTTAAATTCAAAAAAACGCGCTCAAAAAATGATATAAAGTTGAAAAAATAACACATTGCATGAAAAAACACTTTGACATTAACATATATGCAAAAAATTTGCAAATGATTGTTTAAGAATTTTTATGTAACTTATTAATTATGAAAACAAGGACGCGTGCATTTATAATACCCGTTTTATCTCTACATAAATCATTTTAATTTTTTCATTTATCTGTGTAACAGACTTCTGTTTCTTGGAGAGAAAAGAAACCCCGACTCCATAAATGAGCTAAATCTTTGAGGAAAGTTTAGATCTAGCAATAAATATGTAATCCTCTAGAGTAGTTTATTAATGATATATATTTTGATACTTTAATTAACAAAAATAAATTTATTGATTGATATTAGTTGTATATTTAAGGAAAGGTGGATTGTTAGTCAGTTTTGTAAACACCCTATAGAAACTGACGATTTTTTAGGGTATAATGACTCACAATACGTACTAACTATTGAGTAGGGAGTACGATATTCGAATTTTACATTTAATAAAAACTTCATTTTAGCATGCCAAATATAAATTATTCTTATATGATAATTGTGGTGTTTTAGATATAAAAGGTTTTTTAAGAATAAAATAAATTTTATTTTAACAAAATGAAAAGATAATTTAACTTTGTCAATAATATGTTTATATCTTCATCAAAAGTACATTTACTATAATCAATCAATTACCATAAATTGTATCCTTAAACAAAATACAAATAAGTTAATTTATTAAAGTTCTCCCCACTACAAATTTAATTCGTCATGATAACGTAGGGGGGTTTCGAAATTTTATTTTAAGAGTTGTATTTCCATTATGTTCTACATTGCCCAAATTATCCATTATTATTATGGGCATTTCCTTATATTGTACTTGAGCATCGCTCAGTTGGTCGGCATACTTGTTTACAATACCCTCAGACTCAACATCATACATATAATTTAGCTCCAAGTTTTATTAAAAAATATTCATAACGGCATCAAAATAATGTTCGGAAAAGAAAATAATATATCTAAAAAAATGATTTTTATAAATTTTTATTTTATTAAAGTAAATAAAGAATGAATCTTAAATAAGAATAATTTTAAAAAAAAAGTATGTAAAACTAAAATATAAAAAACTAAATATATTTTCTTTTTGAATGCTGAGATGTATAAAAAAATGACTAAAGTTAAATAATTTAAAAAATTTCATCTTTAAAATACAATATCGAACTTTTCCTTTGAACCACAGTCCCTTCATGCCCCCGGAGTCCTTTCGTTTTCTGACCAAACCTTTTGCTTCTCTTCAAATTCACAGGGCTCGACGTTCCTCTCTTTATAATATTTTTGTTTCCATAATACTTTTTCAGTCCTTTCTCATAGATAGTTTCCGCTGATCTAACGTCTGAACGGCCTTCCAAACATCATTTTGGTAGAGGATTTACCGGTAGTTTCATTTGGAGTAATTCTGTGAGTAATTAAAATATTTGTTAAATTTTACTGGCCCGGAGTCCCACATCTCCTTCCAGCATTGAAACGCTTCATCGTACGTATATAGCGCTCATCCAAACCATTCAATTTTGAGCTATAAAGGGCTGATCTAAAATGTTTTATGTTTTTAAAAAGAAACCTTTCTAATTCAGATCGAGTAAATTGAGTACCGTTATAACAATTATACGCGGTAACCCAAATATAGCAAAATAATTATGCAGATTATTTATTACACTCGCCGAGTTAATGTGTGTTAAAATTGCAACTTCAACCCATTTGTTGAAGGTGCCTATGCAAATTAACCAATGCCTTCCAGATACGAAGCCTGTCAAATCAATGTGCTTCTTTCCCATGGTCGAGTAGGAATGTTCCGATCGTATTACGGCACTTCTCTGGCTTCCAGTCTTCCTTCCTGGTAACTCTTGCAGCATTTAACGAAATCTTTAACATCACGATCAAGATTTGCCGAAAAAACATAGTATTTGCATAATGATTTCATCCCCACTATCCCAGGATATCCTTGATGAATAACATTCAGAACCTCCTTCTTTAGATTATAAGGGTAATAATCTAATCATTTACAATTTTTATGGCAATAATCTTAACTTCTGTAGGGTGAATTTCGAATTTGCCATTAACAAATTAACTGACTTTTCTTCAATTTTAATTTTATCGGTCCTCGTTGTCAGTGTTGTCTTATCAAATCTTTTTAATACTTCTAAATTGACTACTTGATCAAAATTATTTTCGCCCGCAATTATTACGTAGTATAAATATACACTGACCATAGGAATTCCCTTTGATAGGTTTTGCATAATGTATTGAAATATTATCGGAGCGCTAGTCAACCCAAAAGGGATTCTTAGGTATTGATATTAACCGACATGAGTCAAAATTATAAAAGATTCCTACATTCTGGATTAACTCCTAATTGAAAAAATGCATCTCTTAAATCCTTCGTTGAAAATATATTATTTGTCAGGTCGACGAAAGTGGGTAATAAATCGTTATCTATCGTAAAATATTTGTTGATTGTTAAACAGAATTTCTTTAAGATATTAACAGTTGGCGTAGCCCAAGTGATTGGAGTTGTTGTTGGATCCATCTTTTCGATAACGCCTTCGTCTAAAAGTCTATCCAACTCAGCTTCAACTGTTTGAAGCAGTGGAAATGGAACTCTTCATGTTGGTAATGCGTTCGGCTGTATCTGGATAACTGCTTGTTGGAGTTTTATTTCTCCTAAAAAAAATTAAAAAATTAGAGGAAACTTTGATGCAATAATTTTTAAAATGGGAACATTCATATTTATACTATTTATCCAAACTTCTTCTAAAAACTTTATATCGAATTCTCTAAGAGAAGGCATTCCAGAAATAAGGGAATTCTCTCCTTAAACTACCCAAATAGGTAAAAATTTAGATATGCTTTTTAATTCGACTTTCACTGTACATTTACCCAATACTTCGATTTTGATATTGTTATATCCTTCTTAGTTTATACACAATCTATAATTATGGATTGTCAATACGTCTCCAAGCAACTTCATATCAAACTGCACACAGTATTGGTATCGAATTTCATTGTAAACCGCTAACCCTTTATCTTTGCATCTATGGTAGCTTTATTCAACATGCCAAGTGTTCGTAATAGAATTATCTGCATGGCATGAGTTCTACAATCCTTTGCTATGAGCTTTGCCTTGCCTCATCGAAAGCATATGACCTTTTGGTATGAAGTAGGAATTTGAACTAACTTTATAATTATTATGATTGAATTTATTGACATTATAACTAACAAACTAAAAAAAACAGAAAACTAACCAAGATCCAAAATAAAAAAAAAACTTACTGAAAATCAAAAATCGAAAGAACCCGAAACCGTCAATAATACTAAATCTTACTCAAAACTAAAAATGTAATAACTACTAAATACTTGTGGACTTTATATCGTAAACTTTTATTTTATACACATAGAAAAATTAATTATAATCTTCAAAAATTATTTTCATAAAATTTAAACATAAAAAATTAATGATTTTTGCGGGATTATTATAATAAGATAATTTTCTTCATATCATATTCATAGGAAAAATATCTGATACCCCGTTGTCTACTTTTACTACATATTGATATAATTATGCCTCTTGATTATTAATGATATTAAGAGAATAATGATTATGGCTCTACAAGGGTATGCTAAATGGACATCATCGTGTAACTTGTTAGGACGGTAATTTAATACGAATTCCCATGTCATCATATTCATAGCGTAAAAAGATTTGATCTCTACTTGTCTACATTGACGTTATATTTATGTAATCGGGGGCCTGGTTGTCATTGCTCCGAAAGTTTGAGTAAACGATAATCTTCTATGAGCGTTGGCTTGATAATTAGCCTGACAAGAGTCTTCACATTGGACTGATAATGGGGCATACGTTTCATATGCGATTATTAAGATAGGTTAATGTTATATCGGTACTTTTTGGCAATTGAATTTATTTAATATATATATTTTTTTTTTTCAAAAAAAATTATTAAAGAAATCTTAGCAATATGGGCAGGTTGCAGATATGGTATGAATAAATATAAATCAATACCATCCATTGTAACAGACAGCCAAGTAGCTTTCACGATCATTAAGAAAGGAGGCTCCCGCTCCCCAGCTTGTGAACATCTAGTTACCAGGATAATGCTGGCAATCGGCTTCCATGACTTCGTACACTTAGCAAGGAACATTACTTGGCTGCCATCCGAAGACAACCTTG